GACCAAGAAACATATGAAATCGGCGTAATCAAACGTACTTGGAATGGTGTGAAGTCACGGAAGGATCCTCTCACAGCGGTCAGCGGTCGAGCGGGGGACACAGGTAGCAAAAGGTGGGCCTAACCGTCACCATGGGCATGGTACACAAGCCTTATCACGGACGTTCTGGGGAGCATAGGATTTTCCGCTGTGCTATCAATCTCCCTTTGGGCTGGCGATTATACAGAGCTCGCACAGAGCTCCAGATAATCGTGGCAGTGCGCGCGGCGTTATTTGGTTACTTCGATTTAACATATGTCCTCCTCCATCCCTGACGTTCATGCGCAGCGCGTTTCCTTCTCATTCGAAGTGGAATCTGCTACGGCGATGTTGCTATCAGCGAGATCGGACAGTGCTGCGAAACCAACCCTCTTACTCGCGAGAAGGGATTCCTCATCGGGTTCGAGTCGTCTCGTTGCACTCAATCGCAGTCCGCACAAAGTGCGCTCAAAACAGCGTGTAATGCTCGTGAAGGAAATATGCTGACAACTGCAGCCGATGGGAAAGAGGATGATCACCATATCTTGACTCTTTACGGACACCTTCAATTTGCAGCCCGGCGTCGCATATGTGACCATGAATTCAGATACACATGCGACGGTTACCATGAGTCCGGGTACACACCGTGCAACGACGCCTAATCATTTTGTTGGGTGTTGATTCATGCCCTGATGGGGTGGGTGCGAAGGAACGCATCACGGGAGACTTTGCAAGCAATCGGCGATTTCCCTGTGTACCACGGCCGGGACGGAGCCGAGGTTGTGGAGACGCGTTCGAAATATTGGGATTTTGTGGGCGACATATTTCCGGAGCTCGACGTAAATACAAGAATACTATTGCATCTGCTCAGGTCACTGTACGTGAAGTACTACTTCGATGGGTCTCTAATTGATAATCGCGCGCTTTTGGCTCTTCTTGACTTTTGCATTGCTATGATGTTACGGGCTTGATATCTTCAATTCTCGTTCATTAGCATACAGCTCCTCCAGATGATATCCGGCTAAAGTAGAAAGACAGTCTGTATGTAGTCCAGGTCAGTTGCAAACATTCACTACTGGTATTTGTGCATACGCTCGCTGAATGGTGTGTGTGCTTGAGCCAGTCGGGTAAAAAGCGAAGTCGAACGTACAGTCTAGACGTCTTTGGGCGGGTTGAGCGCACGTGTGTACCTGGATCGCATAAATTTGAGAAGCCTCGTGGTTATCGCACCCTTGAGATGACGACTTGCTAGATCCTGCACAACCAGGCATAAGATTCCATACTCAAGGCACGAACATGGACGAGCAAGCGCACTGCGATCATCGGATTGGCAGCTGGATCAAGTTCTCGCAGTCTAGCTTGGGTCGCGCAACTCTCTTATGGGCCCACCTTGACAGGGATACACGCGAGATCAGCGTATTGAAACGTGCTTGGAGGTTAGGGATAACACGAAGGGAGCATCTCAGGGTGGTCGACAATACTACGGGTCAAGCAAGTGATGTGGGCCGCAGAGGGCCATACATTGCTATGATCATGAACATGGTAGACGAGTCTTATCGAAAGCGTTCAGGGGAACGTGGCATATCCTGCTGTATTCTCAGCTGCCCTTTGGCTGGCCCATTGCACAGAAAATGCACAGATCTTCAGATAGTACAGGCAGTCAAGGCAGCAATAATCGGTGAGTCAATTCGAATCTATGAATTTCCTTAGTGCTGACTGAATGGGTGCGCAGTGCGTGCCCTGCTCTCGTGGAACGGAATCCAACATTGTGACGTTGCTGTTGGCGATATCGAACGGAACCGCAATGATCAACCTCTCGAACGCGCGAAGGGGTTCCTGATCGGGTTCGAGCCCCCGTGTCGCACCAAGTCGTACATCGACGGACTAGAAAACAGTTATCACATTTTGAATTTTTACGCACCCTTTCAATTCGCAACCCAGCGTCGTATGTGCAACGATGAACCCGGATACACACCATGCGATGACGTCGAACCATTCTGCTGGGTGTTAGTTCACGCTCTCCTGAAGTGGACGCAAAGAAATGCATCACAGGAGGTCTTGAGAGCGATTGGGGTCTTCCCTATATACTACGGTCGAGAGGCAGCTGAGGTCGTGGACACACGCCTCTCCGCCGGGTACTGGGAGTTTGTGGACAAGTGGTCTATGCATCTCAGCGCGGATTCACGATCAGTGTTATGTTTCCTGCAGTGGTTGCTCTTGAAAATCCATCTCAATCGATACGTAATCAGCGATTTGATGTTCCTGCATCTTCTCACCGTTTACTCCGAGGCACCGATGCCACAGACTTGATGTAGCTTGATTCTAGCGCCTCAAGTTACGTTGGACAAGGATACTCGGCCGAGCTGGCCAGACACTATAGATCATGCAATCTCACTTAGTTGGTAGAGTCTCAATATGGCGATGTAGGAATGCACTCACTGACTTGTGCGAGGCAGTCAGTTGCAATGCGAGATCAAACGCGCGGTTCCGAAAGTGGATGCATAATAACCCTAACCCGAGATGCGGCCGTCCGCGCTGGTGAGTCCAGGGTCCAGCGTAGCAGCTTCATACCCAAACCTCCATCTAGTTCCGACCATAAGGTTCTCTCTATAGCACTGTAGTGTGCGAAGGAGAGTTACAGGCAACCATGTTGCGACTGGTAGCGAGGTCGTCTCTGCTCCGTTCATCTCTAGCCGTCCCACTGGCTCGCCGCTCTGCTTCCACTACTTCCACCGCTGGCTCTGGCTCTGCACTCAAGACTGGCATTTACGCTACTGTCCTAGTCCTTTCTACTGGTCTATTTGCGGCATATTACTTTGACTCACGCTCGGCTCTTCATCGCTATGTCTTCACACCACTGTTACGACACACTCTCGACCCCGAGGCGAGCCATAAGTTCGCGGTGCAGGTCCTCAGGAGCGGGCTCGCACCAAGGGACGTCGTGCAGGACGACGAGGTGCTCCGTACGGAGATCTGGGGCGAGCAGCTGAACAATCCTGTGGGCGTCGCAGCAGGGTTCGACAAGCACGGCGAGGCGGTCGACGGTGAGTGCCTCTGTGCATTGGAAACGTGCGGAGCGAGAACGGGCTGCGTCAGGGCTTCTCAACCTTGGGTTCAGCTGGGTAGAGATCGGGAGCGTCACGCCGAAGCCTCAAGTAAGTTACTCGAGGGGCGTCGTGCGGGCCCTGCGCCGAACGGCGTGCAATTCGTAAGACGCAAGTGCTGACTCGCTTGCTCGTGCGTCAGCCTGGGAACCCACAACCCCGCGTGTTTCACCTCGTCAGTGATGCTGCGATGATAAACCGCTACGGTTTCCCCTCTGACGGACACAAGCTCGTCCTCTCCCGGCTTGAAGCCCGCTTGCCGCGCTTCCAGTCCGAAGGTGAAGGTGCGGCCCGCCCCGCCTCACTCAGGCCCGGTGCATTCCTCGCTGTGAACTTGGGCAAGAACAAGTCGTCTCCGCCGGATTCTATTGACGACTTTGTGGAGGGCGTCAGGGCGTTTGGAGCGTATGCGGATGTCCTAGTTATCAACGTGTCTAGTCCAAACACGCCTGGTCTCAGGTACGCTACGTTTTCACCAGTGGAGCTGCAATTTATGGCGTAGTCTGGCTGATTACACAATGTGTGCTGTATTACAGAGGTATGCAGACACGGACACTGCTCGAGGAGCTCCTCGCGGGAGCAAAGAAGGCGCGGGATGAGGCCGTGAGGGCACAGGGCACGTCGCACAGACCGAAGCTCGTGCTCAAGATCGCGCCGGACCTCGAGGAAGCAGAGGTTGCGGACATAGCGTCAGTCGTGCGGACTAGCGGCGTTGATGGCGTCATTGTCAGCAACACGACTATCCGCCGGCCGAGTAACCTCCATGATCGTGAGTCCCCTCAGCGACGATGCCGCAATCAGCCTCCGCTAAGTCGATGTTTGTCAGCGAACCGGTACGAGGCCGGCGGCCTCTCCGGTCCCCCGCTGAAGCCGTATGCACTTGCGACACTACGAACGCTGCGTGCGCAACTCCCGGCGACGGTGCCGATCATCGGCTGCGGCGGCATCTCGAGCGGGGCGGACGCGCTCGAGTTTGCGCGTGCGGGCGCGAGCGCGGTGCAGGTGTACACCGGATTCGGATACGACGGTGTCGGCGCGTGCAGAAGGATCAAGGACGAGCTCGTCGAGGCGCTTCGTGCGGAGGGCACGACGTGGCGCGAGGTGAGCAGGCGGGCGGTGGAGGAGCTCGCGTGGAAGGGCGAGAAAGGAAGAGAGGCAGGGAAGGAGGCGCTGACGGTGGGTAGGTTGGTGGAGGAGGCGGAGGAATTGAAGAAGTTGGTGGATGGACTTGGGGAGAGGATTGCTGCTGGACCCGCGGCGCATGACGTTGGCAGTGTGTAATATCTCACTGCTTTGGGCGATACAAAACTGCGCATTCTTGCGTTCTCAACATGGTTGGTCGCGCTCTGATTGGCATTTAGAGCGGGACCAGGACAAGGGATGATACCCTGGAGAAAATAAATTGGTCTATCGTCATAATTCTAGTAGCGCGACACACTATCACGCATGATACGGAGGAGGTCAGGGATTTCCTATTCCCTATGGAATGTTCTACAGGCGACGTTACGTTGTACACTCTGCTCGCTCGCTCTCGAGCTGTCAGAGGCTGTAAGCCTGTACTCGGCGTAAGGCTCCAACCCTTTTCTTTAGTTTACGCTTATAATCCGTTTAGAGTCGGCACTGCGCAGGGCTCTATGAGTCTGTAGGTACGCAGATCCATGCTAGTGCGTCGTACTTCCAAATTGAGATGGTCGAGGATTTAATGAATTGAAGTACGCACCAAGGAAACCCGAGATGAGACGTCGCGAAGTACAGAATACAATCGTCTTTCACATTCGTGCTCCCACTGAAATCTTGCAAGAGTAAGCGTTCAGAAAGGCGAGCAAAGAACCTGAGTCACTCCACTGATTGTATCTTGCGATGGCAGAAAATCTACATGGCGAGATGGCCGAGCGGTCTAAGGCGCCAGACTAAGGTTAGCCTCTAACTTGGTATCTGGTCCGAAAGGGCGTGGGTTCGAATCCCACTCTCGTCATATTTTGCCAACCAGGAGATGGCGTAGCCACCGTCTTGTTTTTGCAATACAAAGTGCTCACATGCCTTGGAATACGCAACTTCCGTGCTTCGCTGTGCGCACAGAGTGTTATATTAAATTCTAATAGTAACGTGTGTGCATACTGCACACCATGATGTGAACTGCGAAGTACGGCATGAGGTGTCTTGCTCAATGCAAGAGCTCGGTATCGGTGACGTCCTTATCCTGCCCGTGCGGGGTGGCGTATTTCGTAGCCAGCAGCATGCGCATCACAGGTCGTGAGTATGACTCGTCGATTACCACATAGAACAAGTGGTCGCCAGAATCTCATGCCCTCAACCCCGAATGCGTTTATCCGCCCTGCACGTGCAGCCGGCTAACACGCCGAACTGGGTATCGATATTTGTGCGGATTATTTCAAATGCTAATACGGGTACGCCAGATGCGATGAGAACGTCTCCAAGGGTGCGATGCGACGCCCGAAGACAAGTACAAGGGAGGGAAACAACAGATCGTGGAGGGGGGTCGCCAAGAATGGCAGGAGGGTTGGTAGCGCCGCGAATGATCGGAGCACGTGGTATTATGAGCGTCTAAATACAGAGGAATCCAACTCAGCCAAAAATTTGAGAGGGCGTCTGTTTATTAGACCCGCCATCGTCCAGGTCGTCCATCCTTCCTGTTCCTCCTCCTCCCTCCCCTCCGACCTGCAGCAATGGATGTAAGCTATATACACACCTTCCACACATCCTTTTCACGTCTCACGCTCCGCGATCCAGCCCAATTTCGTGCAGGGCCTCCACAATCTGCTCGCGCAGTCCACCTCCAATGACACCGTCCAACTCAAGGCTGTAAGTTATCTCCGAGCCCAGCTCCAGACAGAAAGTTGACAGGAGTGATGCACCACAGGCTACGGCTCAGCTGAACCGCGAATTCTACAAAAATCCGCTGTGTATTCCTGCATTGACCAGCATCATCGCGAGCTCCCCCGACCAAGCGGTGAGTCCTCAGTCTTGACCTGCCCAACGCTCGTATTGAGCCCCGCCTCGATTGCAATATAGATCCGCCAGCTTGCTGCTGTCGAGCTGCGCAAGCGGATATCGCAAGGCAGCGGCGAGCTGTGGATCACCGTCAGCTCCGATCAGCGCCAGGAGATCAGGTCCAAGCTCCCCGAGCTCGTCCTCAACGACCCCAGGTGCGTCCCCCCTCCCAGCTAGGCTCACTTTTCCTTGTATCTGACAGTCTGTGTCACTGCCCGCAGTAACCTCGTCCGCCATTCGACTGCGCGCGTCATTGCCGCGATTGCTTCGATCGAGATCCCGCTCAACCAGTGGTCCGAGCTCCTCCCCTTCCTCCTCCAGACATGCCAGTCCCCCAACGCCGTACACCGCGAGGTCGGCATCTATATCCTCTATACCGTCCTCGAAAACATCGTCGAGGGCTTCGAGAACCACCTCCAAGAGTTCTTCCGTCTCTTCGAGGCGCTCCTCAATGATCCTGAGAGCGCGGAGGTCAGGATCACTACTGTCAGGTATGTTACTTACACCCGTCACGCCGCGCTTTGCGTCTGACTAGGAATCAGGGCGCTGGGCGTCATTGCGCAGTACATCGACGTCGATGACAAGCAGGACATCGTGCGTATCTCTCCTGTGGGGCGTATTCTGTCTGCTAACGCTTGCTACAGAAATCTTTTCAACAGCTCCTCCCGGCAATGATTAACGCGATTGGCCAGTGTCTCGAGATGGGCAACGAGACCGGCTCTCGTCAGCTCTTTGACGTCCTCGAGACGCTCCTCATTCTCGAGATTCCTCTTCTCGGCCAGCATGTCCCCCAGCTCGTCGAGTTCCTCCTCCGGTGCGGTGCCAACAGGAACTACGACAGCGAACTCCGTGTCCTTGCTCTCAACGCTCTCAACTGGACCGTGCAATAGTACGTACTGTGGCCGTTACTGCCTGGGTCTGATATTGACGCCATGCACATAATCAGCAAAAAACAGCGGATCATGTCACATGGTCTTGCACCTGCCATCCTTCAGGGCCTCATGCCCATCGCCAGCGAGGAGGAGCCCGAGGACGTCGACGACGATGCGCCTTCTCGCGTGAGTATCGACTAATCTCTTCTCACATGACTACATTTTGACGACTGTGTAGTCTGCGCTGCGCATCATCGACTGCCTCGCAACGAGCCTGCCCCCGACACAGGTGTTCCCCCCGCTGCGCGAGCTGATTCAGCAGTACTTCAGCTCGCCCGATGCCGCTAACCGCCGTGCCGCCATGCTCGCGCTCGGCGTCTCGGTCGAGGGATGCTCCGAATTCATGACCCCGCTCATGCCCCACGTCTGGCCCGTCATTGAGACCGGCCTTCACGACCAGGACGCGACCGTCCGCAAGGCGAGCTGCGTTGCGGTTAGCTGCCTCTGTGAGTGGCTCGAGGAGCAGTGCACCGCGAAGCACGCCGTGCTCGTTCCCGTGAGTGTTTGCTATGACTCACAAAGTAGAGGCGGTAGCTCATAGAGTGTGCAGACCATCATGCAACTCATTGAGGACCCCGTCACCCAGCGCTCGGCGTGCGGGGCGCTCGACGCCCTGCTCGAGATCCTCCAGGATGAGATCCACCTGTACCTCCACCTCATCATGGAGCGCCTCTCCGGCCTGCTCGAGACCGCGCCCGTCCCTGTCAAGAGCGTTATTATCGGCGCAATCGGCTCCGCCGCCCATGCGTCGCGTGACAAGTTCCTACCGTACTTCCAGCCGATCATGGAGCGCTTCAAGCACTTCCTTGTCCTCACCGGCGAGGGCGAGGAGCAGGAGCTCCGCGGTATCACGATGGACGCGGTCGGCACGTTCGCGGACGCAGTCGGCAAGGACGTGTTCAGGCCGTACTTTGCAGATATGATGAAGCAGGCGTTTGACGGGCTGCAGAGCGGGAGCGCGAGGCTGCGCGAGTGCAGCTTCCTGTTCTTTGGCGTGATGGCGCGCGTGTTTGAGGACGAGTTTGCGCCGTACCTCCCCAGCGTTGTCCCCGCGCTCATCCAGAGCTGTGACCAGCCTGAGCACGGCGACGAGGCGTTCACGAGTGAGTGGCCCGGCCCGGTTTTTACGAGTAAATGGAGTAGGTGCTGATGTGTTGCCGCTTTCGTAGTCGCGAACCCAGAGCTCGCGGCGAGCTTTGCGACAGGCTCGTCCCCCGCGAACGCGATCACAATCACGGACGACGTGAACGGGAACGCAGAACTCGACATCGAGGACATCGACGTGGACAAGATGCTCGACGTGAACAGCACGATCTGTATCGAGAAGGAGATCGCGGCGGACACGTTCGGCGCGCTCTTCGCTGCGACGCGCACGCACTTCCTACCCTACGTCGAGCAGTGCACGATCAAGCTCGTCGGGCTCCTCCCCCACTACTACGATGGCATCCGCAAAGCCGCGATTGACTCGTTGCTGGAGATTATCAAGACTTTCCATGAACTGAGCAACCCCCAGGAGTGGGTCGCGGGCCTCCCCCCGAAGGTGCCCATCGACAACCAGGTCAAGGAGCTTATCAACCATGTCGTCGGTCCGCTCTTTGAGATGTACGAGTCGGAGGACAACAAGTGAGTGCGCCGTTTTGTTTGGTGGTAGCGAAGTAAGATGAGACAAAAGACGCTGTCCAACTGCTGTTTGACACCTATGCGGGTGTGTGAAACGAACCGTCCATATTAACCCTCTGATCTTGTATGTTCCCGTGTGTGATGCTCCCGCTAACACATTGTGCCCGCAGGAAAGTAGTTGCGAGCATGTGCGTTGGCCTGGCGGAGACGATTCAGAAGGTCGGCCCGGCCTTCCTGGATGGACGTAAGTAACTATACACTTGATCATTATAGAATTGCGTCTTGATGTGTTTGCAGGTCTCGAGCAGATCGCCAACATGGCGATACAGATCCTTGACCAGAAGTCGATCTGCCAGCAGGACCCTGATCAGGACGAGAGTGACGAGGCCCCCGAGGACCAAGCCGAGTACGACTCGATGCTCATTTCCGCCGCTGGCGACATCGTCACCGCACTCGCCGCCGCGATGGGCCCGAACTTCGAGCCCGCGTTCCAGACGTTCTTCCCGCTGGTGTCCAAGTACTATGTGAGTACCCTCGTATGCGACTTCGTATGTCCGCACGGTCTGATCTCTTGACAGAAAAAGAACCGGTCGCTGAGCGACCGCTCGTCTGCTATCGGCTGTCTGTCCGAGATCATCTCCGGCATGAAGGGTGCAGTCACTCCCTTCACCAACGATCTCCTCCAGCTCTTCTACACCGCCCTCAGCGACGATGAGCCTGAAGTGCAGTGCAACGCCGCGTTCGCCTCCGGTCTCCTCATCGAGCACTCCAACGTCGACCTCTCCTCGCACTACCTCAATCTCCTTGCCTCGTTCCGCCCGCTGTTCGTTGTTACTCCGGATGCGCCGCCAGCCAAATTCAACGCGCGGGATAACGCCATGGGTTCCGTTGCGCGGATGATTTTGAAGAATACCGCCGCTGTACCCTTGGACCAGGTCATCCCCACGTTCATGGACGCGCTTCCGCTCAAGAACGACTACCAGGAGAACGTCCCCGTCTTCCGCGCCATCTTCCACCTCTTCCGTACGAACGCGGGCCTGCTCGCGCCATACATGGAGAAGCTCCTCCAGGTGTTCGCATTCGTGCTCGACCCCAACGGCGCTGACATGCTTACCGACGAGATCCGTGCGGAGCTCATAAACCTGATTGGCCTCCTGAATAACGAGAACCCTGCGATGGTGCAGGCCGCCGGCCTTGCGCCGTTCGTGCCCGGTTCATAGAGAGTCCCGGAATGTCCGCCGGTGACTCGTTTGTTTAGTTTGTGACGCCATTTGTACGCCATTTGTTCTCGAATCACCTCCAGTAACGTTCAGGGCTTGCTCTCAACATCTCATGATTGTCGGATTTCATGCCATCGTAGTTCTCGCTTTCCTGTCATCTCTTCCTCATCGTTTTCGTGCGTAATGTTTCA